GGGGGTGGGGCAAGGATTTGGGGGAAAGTCACTTCCACTCTCTGTGTCTTGGCCAGGAGGCAGTGCCTTGGTTAAGAGCTGAGTCCTGGAGTCAAACAGCAGGTGTAAGTCTGTAATCCTCCACGTACTGGCTGTGTGGCTTTGGAGAAATTACTTAACCTCCCTGAGCCTCTTTCTTCTCATCTGTAAAACGGGGAACTGCCTCACTGAATTCAGTGAGATGGTGTAGTTAGAGCGAGGAGCACTGGGCTAGCCTGGTGCCCTGAGATGGAAAGCAGCCTGGTATATGTGAGGCCTTGAGGAGGAATCAAGGCAGGTGAAAGATTGGGGGTGTTACCTCTACTGGGTTGCTCTCCCTCTAAATACAGTCAGCTCCCAAGAAGCCTCAGATGGGTTCTCATCAAGCCTCTCAAAGGTCCACTCTGGCACCCTCAGACTCCCCCTAAGCCTCCAGGTCAGAACCTCTTTCATAGCTCAAGTATATACTGGGTCTGACTCTGCCAGCCCAATGCTGGGAAAGGGCCAGAAAACTTTCTCCCTGGGGCAGCCAAGCTGGTCTTTTCCTCCTGAGAGTCCCAAGTGCTGTGCAGTAGCGCCCTCTGCTGGTGTATCTTGACAAGACACCCACAGCTGGTGTCCCTGTGGCCCAGAATTTCAGACTTCTTTGACATTGCCCTAAGGGGGGACCCATCTCTACCCTCCAAAACACAGTGGGGGAAATTGAGGCATGGACCTGCCCAAGGGGCTCAGTGAGTCAGCAGCGGCACCAGAAGCAGAGCCCAGGCAGCCCAGTCTCCCAGTGGCTGCTTTGCCCCCTCACTTCAATATCATTTTCCTCCATTTCTTGACTTGGAGTGTCAAATTGAATGGATGCTGGAACAAATACAATCTGAATATGCTCTGAATAGACTTTCTCAAAGAATTGTCAATAAAGGAGAAGCTCAAATAGCACCCTGAAAATCACCACATGCTTTCCTTCCCATGGACTCAAGGAAAGGACCTCAGAGACCCCACTGTCTGAGGTCAGTGCAGGAGTGATGACACAGGTACCAATGCCCAAAGAAGAAAGACAGCACCGGCCTGTATTCCCGCTTCACTCATTTGCACTCGATCATCAGTAATTACCGTCCATCTGCTCTGTGGACGAAGCCGAAAATGCCATGGCAGTGGGCAAGTCAGGCAGGGCCTACCCTCTGAGGCCTACTGGGCATTGCACAAGGACTGACCCACATGGTGAGGGCTGGAAGGAAAAGCAGGGATGCCTTGAGGGGGCAACAAGGTCTTGACCTTGACCTTGACCAACAGTTCTGGAGAAGCGTCTTTGCAAAGTATGTTTCAGCTTAGGCCTGAAGGAGGTAGAAGTTGGCCCTGAGAAAGGCAAGAGGAGGGATTTGCAAGCCTCCCTCGGGTGATGTGCCTCATGGGCAGATCCATGGCACACATTTAGAAATGGAGCACAGTGGTTCACTCTGGAAAGGAGCTCATCCTTCCTCTCAGCTCTAGCTCATTAGCAGTACAAGCAGCAGCTTTCTGGGCTCAAGATTCTATCCCAGATTTGCCAGGACCACTGACTGCCAACTCAGGACCTTCCCAATTGGTCCCATGCTGACACAGGACTCAGAGAATAACAATCTGCCTGGCACACATTAGGTGGTCTGCCAAAAAAATAGACCTTGAAGAAGTGGCGGACTTTCCACCTATGGACTTCTTCCAATGGTGAACTGACAAAAGGACCACTCTTTGGAGACCTTTCATTTCTGATAACTGTCCCAGCACATATCCCAGCATGGCAGGGCAGTGCCTGGGCATCGGTTGTGATGATGACCCCCCCCCCCC